TTTCCTTTTAGGACCTTATCAGGAGGGTACTCATCCTGGAAGACTTTCAATGCAACATAGATTTAAAAACATACACATATATTTATATTTATGCATGTATTTATACATATATAACAACTATGCAGAATTATTGTTTCTTCTTTCTTTTCACCGGCTAATAAAACTTGTGAATTTCCTTCTTGATTGTAATAAAAATTACACTCTTTTAACAAAAACTCAGAAATTTAAGCTCTAAATATACACAGAATAGGTTTTAAGGATTATATAAAAATGAGATATCTTACAGTAATCATATTTATTATTATAGTTTCAGAAACGGGCTCCTTGGAGAGACTTGGGATTATTCCAAGATAAGTAGGCCTACAAGAACCATTTATCTACATCTGTTATTTATGTATACCATCTAAATATGACAACATGTGATTAAATATGATTTTCTTTTTTGTTGGAAGTTTTCATTAAAAAACTGTCAACTGTCCCCATCCCTTGGTCAGTTTCTAGCTCCACTTATGGACAGTTGCATTATGTCATAAATACATTTATTTTTTTACAAATCACCTTTAATCTTGTTGTCTGAATGAGCTCAAGAATTTGTATTGTTTTCAAAACTTAGTTAAAGAATCTGCAGTCTTAGGCTCTTTGAAAAGTACTCAGATACAGACACGTCAAAATGAAGGATGACATGTAATTAACACGGCAAACGCAATATACTGAGATGTTCACAATATCCCCAAACCCTGGTTTGAAAAAGAAAAAAATTTAAAGATAGACATGTTTTATTGAACTTCTGTTAGATTTTTTACATTTTTTGAATAGATATACAAATGATAAAAATTAACAACCCTCTCTGTCGCCTATCAATGAGATTCACAGTGTGCAAAAAATGGCCACCAGCTGTATAATCTTCATGCTCCCAGGACTCCAGGACTTTCACATCCAGCATTACAGCTAAACTTCTGTGGATTTTCTGTAGTTTTCCACTTTGGGGACTTTTTTTCCCATCAGATCAGTCCAGATGTGGATGCATGTCATTTTACACAATAGATTTTGGATTAGTCAGAGTTTTCATGGACATCACTGTTTGAAAACCATGCTTTCGTTTGGCTAAAGTTGGTTTTCAACAGATTCTATCACAGTTTTTTTTTTTTTACCAAAAGTGAAATAAAGAGACATGTTAAATGTGACTGTATTTTTAAATTACTGGTAAGTAATATTCATGAGGTAGTACTCCAATAACTAGAAGAAACTTTTTGGTGATCAATCGTAGATATTGGTGGAAGTTTTTATCTATTGCTGACATGTCATTCATTACCTACTGTACAAGTTTATCTTCGAAAGTTTCATTTTAAAACGTTTTTCTTCTGCCTGTTATTATTTTTATTTTGTAGTGTATTTCATTTTGTACTTAGAAATTCCTTGTTTGACACATAACTCTCCATCTAATTAAATCATTTTAATCATTAAATCAGATGCTATCAGCCGACAGTTACCCTGTGCTTGAGTAACCATTTTACAGTACAGTACAGTACGTTTTTACTGGTACTGAAGTGATTTCTTTGGTCACTACTTTCTACTTTTACTTGAGTAAAAGTTTTGTACGGAGCCCCTTTGATGACATGGGCCTTCTCTAAGGTCTAAGGCGCGCTCGATTTGCTTACCCAGTTGTCTAGGAATGATATTAATATTATTAATAAGTATTTCGTGCGCACGTTATACTTATTGCGTGGCCACGAAGTAGTATTTCGTGCGCACAAAATACTACTTCGTGGCCACAATTAAAAATTTTGGCCACGAAATGTCATCAGAGGGGCTCTGTAGTTTTGGGCTCTATGCCGCCCTCTGGTATTAATGCATGTAGGGTACTTTTAGCAGAAGTACAATTAACACAAGCATAAAGCATTAGCATGCTAAAATATTAGTATTGAAACAATCACAAAAACTGTCTACCTTTTTAATGCAGAATTGCCAATGGGAATTTTAACACTGCTAATAAATAGCTACAAAAGATAATTTGTAAAATTATATACATTTTAATTCAGTATAATATGAGGAAAAAGAAAGAATTCTGAATTAATTTCAGAAATCTGACTTTTTTTCTCAGAATTCTGACTTTAATCTCAGAATTCTGACTTTTTTCAAAAAATTCTCGGTTTGATTTCAGAATTCTGAGGGTTTTTTCTCAGAATTCTGACTTTAATCTCAGAATTTTGGAAC